ATTCTAAATACAAATTAATTTAAAAATCTTGCAAATTGGATACAAATTTGGGAAATAAATAATTGTATAATTCTTAACATTCTTCCAATATTTTTGAATAATTTTATCTTTCAACAAATGTGTGCAAATTGGATAAAACAACGTGCAATTTTTAATTTAAAACAAAGTTGAAATTTGGACGGGATTTACATTCAAAATCGTATCCACGTTTGTTTATAACAAAATTGGTTCATCTTTGATTTTAAAGTAAAATTTTATCCAGTTATTTAGAAAAAAATTCAATAATATCAAAATCATGTGCAACTTTTACAAGACCGTGTGCACCTTTTAAAAAATGCACCAATATTTTTTTATTCTTATGTTTTTTTTCTTAACTATGTTTTATCGAGATTTTGGTAAGTTCATATCATTTTTTCGTTAAGTTCGTATCAATTTTTTTAAGAAAGAAACAATTTCATAAATTTTATGTTTTTAACAAATTATTTCTATTTTTTATTAGAATTAATTTCATTTCAATTTGTTTGCTAAAAAAAATTAGTGCAATGCTAAGACAATTTGGTTGCATTTTTAGGAAAAAAATGATGATTCTTTTCACTTTGTTTCAACTAAATATCCGGATCAATTTGTTTGGTAAAAACAATCGATGTATTAGTAGGAAAGTCGGTTTTATTTTTAAAAAAAAATTAATTATTCTTTTCAATTTTTCATAATCACAACATTGAATTAGATTTTTTTTTTTTAAAAAAAAGGCGTGAAAATCTTAAAAGTTTCTACTTTTGGTTTACTAGAATTTTGTTTAATAAATAAGATCCCTTAATTATTTTAAAAAATATAATTTGTTAACTAATAACTAATAATATGCAATTTTAGATAAATTTTGAACATACATAAAGTACTTTACGAGCCAAAGAATCAAACCAAGAATGTTATAAGGAAATAATCAATAACATATAAATTTCATTTTCATGATATTTTTATTGTCATTAGACAAATTAAATATAAAAATAAATTTTAAAAGGCAAGTAGGTAATAAATGCTCTCGTGCATCGCACAAACACTATACTAGTTGTTTCATAAAAGTCAATAATATTAAACAACTTTCCAATTATCATTTATCTGGTTTTATTTTTTTTTTAATTCCAATTTTACATGAAAAGTGGATTGGTGATATTTTTGTATACATAATTAATTATTTTTCTAATTCTCTCTCCTACTTAATAAAAAAACATCCCTACATCTTCTTATGCACATCATTGATTGCCACGAAAGAAGAATTTGTCCTATTAATTTGGTAAAAAGCACTTAAAAGCCATATTTTTAAGGTTATGTTTGGTAAAGTTAACTGATAAGTTAACTGATAGCTGATAAAGAAACTTATTGCTTATAAATAATTTTTTAGCTTATTACTTAAGTCATAAATTATATGCTATAAGTTTAAAAATTGCTAATAAGTTGGTTTATCAGCTATAAACTAATTTATCAATTAGTTTTACTAAACATGATCCTAGTAAATCCAAAATATGTTGGTGGAAATATTGTCATTGTCGCTTGTTATTCTCACCATGCACACGAACTGAAGCATGTCTTTATCATTGATTTTGATGTACAACATGAGACTGGAGCCACTGATGCCTTCCCTAATGACCTGATATAATTTGTATTTCCACTCAAATCGGGGCCGGCCCTGGCCTAGGGCAGCCTGGGCTACCACCCAGGGCCCAAGTTGAAGGAGGGGCACCCATGAGCCCATATAATACTCACATTTATTAGTTTTAACAAAAAATAAAAATATGTTACGACACATACAGAGGGAAAAATGTGGAGAGAGAGAGAGAGAGCGCGAGAGAATCGATGAAGACATGGTGCTTTTAGTGACGGATCTCAGAGTAGAAAGCTTTGTTGATTTGTGTTCTTATATTTCCCATCTGCCCAAGTAAACTAGAATTCCAATCCAAGTTTCCATATTCTTTTTCCTGCCAACCCTAATTTCTTTTGGCTTCTGCTTTCTGTTCGAATTGCTTGGATTTTTCACTTAACTATGAATCGAATTCTACTGTTCTTGGGGTCGATTATACTGAATTTGCCAATGAAAAACTAATATTGAGTTTTTTAATAGAAGCTCATGATTTTGGAGATCAGTCTTACCTCAATTTTGTTTGTTTGTTTATTATTATTATTATTATTATTATTATTATTTGACTTCTACAAATACTGATTTTCTCAAAATTTCTCATAAGGATTAATTTATTCATATATTGAATTCTACATGTTTATTTGGCTGGTTGTGATTGTTTTGAAATTATTGGCAAATGGTTGAAAATGGATGAGCCAGAGTTGACAGTTGGTAAAATGTTTTGGAGATTATATTGAGTGATGGGATCTGGTAACACTTGGTATGTATATTGTGTGGTTGCCTAATTTAGGGGTGAGCATGGTGCGGTTCGGTGCAAAACTGCACCAAACCGCAAAAAACCGAAAATTGAAATTTGTTATTTACCCAAACCGAACCGCACCGAAATTTTCGGTTCGGTGCGGTGCGGTTTCGGTTAACCGCAAATTTAAAAAATAAAAAATAAAATGAAGCTACATCATCATCTATATGCAACCTTACCAAACCAAAAGCCCAAAATTTGAAAGTGAAAAACTAGGGAAATAAATTAGATTTTAATGTAATGTTGTTAATTTATAATTGTTATTGTTATTGTTTATTACTTTACTTATTTATTGTTAATGTTAATCATCCCAAACTAAAGTCCCAATATGAGCATGTATATGTACAATACAAACATGTTAACATATTTCATATTTGTAATAAAAAAAAAAAATCGGTGCGGTTCGGTTAAAACTGCATCATTCGGACAAAAAACCGAACCGCACCGAAATATGTGCGGTTTTTCAATATTTTAACCGCACTGAAAACCTAACCTTAAAAAACCGAACCGCACCGAATACATCGGTTCGGTTCGGTTTTTCGGTTTCGGCTCGGTTTTGCTCACCCCTAGTTGCCTTTGCTTAAAAAGGTGTGATCTTTTTGTGTGTGAGTCATTGAGTGCGTTGGGCTCGGTTCTGTGGTTTGGTTCTGTGGTTTGGCTTGCTGAATGATTAGGTTTATTTACTTTAACTTAAGTGTGGAGCTCATTTGATTTTCTTTCAAACTTTCCAATCTCTTTATGCTTGGATATTTATTAAATTCTTAGTAGATAGGAGTAGTCTTGCTATGATCTCAAGTTTGCTCCTTATTAGTAAGGAGCTCATTACTTGATTGTTCAAACCTCTCAAAACAAATGCGATACCTCGTTCATGACTGTTCAAACCTCTCAAAACAAATATGATACCTCTCAAAACAAATATAATACGTCCTCGAAGATTAAAATGATAAGTGTGCATGTCATACATGATACATGGTGTATATCTTATAATATTGATTTTTCCTGCCTATATAAGGTTGTTTTTGCTATGACTACACTTAATCCAAACAAAGTACTTGGGCACTATTTTTTGTATTTCGCTCAGGGCCTACTAATGTTTAGAACCGGCTCTGACTCAAATAGATGGGAGTTACATAGTTACTGGTAAAATGAATCAGATAGATAGTGGGTCAGATAATTTTTTTAGGCATGATAGTGGAGTCACTATCAATTACGGAAAATTGATCTTCGCATGTGTGCATTTTTGGTGCTACACATAACCATCGAGGAGTTTACATGTATAATAATATAAAGAAGCGGTCTGTTTGTCCATGTACCTGTGAAGATGAGATTGGGTCAGATTCGAGAGCAAATCATTTTCGACAGGGGAGAAGAATGGAGATAAGAATCATTAAAATATTTAATTTAAATATTTATTTATTTATTATTATGATTATCAGTGGTATTCTAAATTTGTTAAGAAATTTATTTGTACAAGAAATCTAGGGTTTTGAGTATGTTTATATAAATTATTAAGATTATCATATGCGTTAATATCAAAACATTTAAATTTATAACTAGTACGTAGCCCGTGCGATGCACGGGACATAAGTATTAATGTATTATTTCCACAGAACTTGTCTGTTAAGTAGCTCGTGCGATTCACGGGAGATATTAAATGAGTGGACCATAGGGTTTGTCCGTTCAGGCCTAAAAAATAATAGAGTTTGATCATCTATCTTTTTACATCTTTTCATCAACGTCATTTTTTTAATCGGAACATTAAACCTGAGTCTGGTAGAGCTAGCCCGTAAATTAATTAATATATTATCTCGCTCACATGTTTATAATAATATAAATTTGATTTCATTATATATATTTATTCATTGATATAAGAAAAATAACAATTTTACGTAATCTTGTTCCTCGTATAATACTTATATTATTTCATTATAAAATTTATTGTAGTATAATGTCATTATTATTATAAGTTATAGATGTAATCTTCTTCTTCTTTTTATTTTATGTAATTAAAATATTTAATGTATGTTCATATTATTTATTAATGTAATTAATTTAAATTATGTAAATAAATTTAAAGTAAAACATTTTGTACAAATATTTTACAAAATATACACAAATGATTTTTTAGAATTTAATTTTTTCAATAAATAACAGCTTTGAAATTCTATGCAATTATTAAAACCGATTAAATCTTTATTTATAGGCTTGACATTAAAACTGATTTTATGAGATTATTTTAACTAAACCGATGTTATGAAAAAAAACAATTTTATACTTACATTTGACTTTTCCATAAAAAAATCGGTCCTGATTTTTATCCCATAACAAATCTTTAATGTCAAGCTATAAATACCAAAACAAATCTGTAATTAATGTCATTCTATTTCCAGCAAACATTAATTACCTTTGACTTTTCTTTATACTAAATCTGGTAAATGGGATACCTTTTAATATAAGTATAGATATACGTTTTGTTAGTTTTTATATACTATGTACTAGTATTTTCGAGGTATTTTCAAAAGTGAAATAACAAATGAGAAATATGTTTCTATTTGGGTCCGGGAGCCGGGAAACCACAGCCCCACTTGTGCGCGTCAACGTGGGTGTTAGGGGACGTTTCCTGTATTTTTCCAATTCCACGCCCCAACTCGCGCGTGACTATACGCACCACTGATCCCTGTTTTCTTCCTTCTCCCTCCCGCCCCATCAGTTTCCCCCAACTATCCATACAAAAGGAACCCTGATTCTGCAACCCTAAAAAATTCCCAAATATGGATGCTTCGAAATTCGAAATTCCACGATAGGCTGAGCTTGCTTCACCTTTGGAGAAAGAACCCTAATAATATCTCGATCGGCTCAATTCGAATTTAGGGTTTTTTTTATTTGAGAAAAAAAAATGGACAGGCGCGATGATGAATTGCAGTTGGCCATCTACAGGCCTCCCCCAAGCTTCACCGGCGGGTGCCTGGAAACCCGCCTCTTCTACGTGAGGATAGCGCCCTGCACTGTGGACGGCCTCCCCGACCGGCTGAAGCTCCGGCACCTCCGCCGCGAGCCAGGCGTCTTCCTGGAGATAAACGGCGCGCGCATCCCGCCGTCCGAACCCGTATGCGTCAGCCTCCGCCGCGATCGGGTCGACAGGGGCTCCTCAGAGGTGACGTACGTCAGCACCGATAGCATCCGGGTGTCGGGGCCCACGGAGTTCGAGGTCTGCGAGGAAGGAGACGATGGGGATATGGTCCTCTGCGGCTCGCTGGAGAGAGACGAGGTGGGGCCCACGTGGGCCGACGGGAATGCGTCGGGTAATGATTCTAGGACGGGTTGGAGCCTGGAGTGCTACGTGGCAACCTCCATAGCCGATGGAAGGTCGGTCCTTCTCCACCCGAGGAAAGGGGCTTGCTCGCCCTCGATCGAGGTTTATATAGCGGGGTGCTGCTCTGGTACTCCAGTGATCTTGATGAAGACGATTTTGGTTAGTCCGAGGAAGAAGGTGAGGCAGGGGATTACACTGGACTCGATTCCTGAGGATGAGGAGATGGGGAAGGAGCAGGTGAATCTGTGCAATGGGGTGGTGAGGCATAGGAAATTGCAGGTAACTTGTGTTTAGTTTTCGTTATTTTAGCTTTTAATTTCTTTAGGTTTTCTAGCTTCATGTTTTCTAGCTTCATATAAGGACGTGAAGCTATTCCAACTGTTGCACGTTTGAGCTGTGTTGTGTGGTTATCAATTAAAATGGAAATTGGCTTGCATGTGGCTGAAGCTGAAGCAGGTACATTCAGTTGTACATCTCGAAGATGGAAGCATCGTAGGATATAGTAATGCTACTGGCTCAAGTAGGATGTACTGTAGGGTATAATTATTAATTGTCATCATTGAAATGAAGCACGGTATATAAACTTTGGAGGAATAAGCTATTCTGTGTAGGACATATTTGAAAGGATACCGTAAGACTACTTTGACAAACAAATCCATGATCAATTACTTGATGCGGTAATAGTTATAGAATCTGAGGTAACCCAACTTTGCAAATGACCGTGAAAAGTTGAAATGTTTACTTACGTGATATTCATACCTAGCGGTTTTGANTTTTTTTTTTTTTTTTTTTAATTGATCACTATGATCAATTTTTCTTACATCTCAGCTGTAATTGCAGATCTGTGGCAGCAAGGTTATTGAGTTGTCCAGTTTCCTTTCTCGTTATCTAGCTAATTGTTCTAAAACACGTAGGCGCTCGCCGGTGGGCTGGGGCTTAGGCCCGCCTAGGTTTAGACAGGGTAAAAAAAATATTAGTAAATTTATTTATATTTTTATCATACAAGATATATTATATAAAATATACTATTAATACTGTTTTTAACAAAGATTTTCCAAAATATAATATAGTTCATAACTAACGTATTAATTTTAGCATGAATATTATATTTTTAATAATTATTGTATATTCTATGTATAAATATAAAAAACTAAATTTGTTATACTTCGAAAATATACAATATTATATATATATGTGTGTGTGTGTGTGTGTGTATAAGGGCCCCAATCTGGCACTTGTCTAGACCGTGTAACTAGTCTAGGTGTGGCTAACTTCGCAGCTGCCTAGGCGCCGCGTTGCCAGCCATCTATTGCACCGAACTATCCAAGTGCCGAAAAGGGCGTCTAGACGAAACTTGGGGTGCCTAGGTGCCGCCTAGTGCCTAACCCAACTTTTAGAACACTGATGTAGCTTGAAAGGTTTATTGCAGTCTTTTTCTTTTGGCATTGTTACTAGGTGAATATGTTTCTTGGGAGTGTTTGTCGATAACATGGTGATGCTATGGGGGCAACATTGTTGGGAGCTTTAGATAAAAGAGGAATGCTACAGCAATTTTAAATTTGGGTCAATAGAAGTTGTGGACTGTAGGACCTTATTGATTTCTTATGTGAAGTATATTTTTGTTTTGTTAATGATCATTATGCTTTAAGATTCATTTTGACTGTTATGATGTAGATGTATATGCATATAGAAAAAAAAGAAAAAACATTTTGTATAACGATTTATTTGTTTTTGGTAATCTTTATTTGGAAGAGCACGAGAATTGGGTGGAATTTCCAAACTCCGAACCCTAAAACTTTGAAAATTTTGTTGCACATAATGTCGTAAATTGTTCATGCTATTTTTATGGTAATCAACTCTTTGAGGTTATCTGTCAATAACAGAGTTGACCCTTAGTTTACCTCATGTTCTTAATCCTCTGAGTTTCCACATAACCACTTTTTCCGCAGTCCATGCCGGCTGATATGGATGAATATGACTCGGACGGGAAAATCACAAATGGCAATTACTCTGAAGAAATGTACCCAGGTGAAGATGGTCAACTCACGTGGTTCAATGCCGGTGTAAGGGTCGGTGTTGGAATAGGTCTAGGCATGTGCCTTAGTGTGGGAATCGGTGTTGGCCTGCTCATGCGATCTTATCAAGCCACGACCAGAACTTTCAGGAGAAGGTTTTTCTGATTTCTACATTCGAAAAAATAAAAAATAAAAAGATTTAGCTGTGAGCATCGTATTTGAGATGAAAAGCATGCTTTTTTGCGGTTTTACTAAAGATCTGGAGACATCATAAAATGCCGCCAGAGAAGTGAGAAGCACACCATACATATATATGCTCTTTAGTTCGTTTGCCATTTGAAAGTGTTCATTGTGCAGTGCAGTGTTAATGTGTGTGGCCTTTGCGGCACAGAGAAAACACCTGATCTTGTTTATATTGTAAGTGCTGCCTGGGTCTTTCGTAGATATCGTTTCTAACTAAGTCTTTTTCCCGGTTGGAACAATTTTGTCGGAGTAAATTTTCTTTTCCTTTCACTTTCTTTGAGTTAGTTTTGACGGGATATGGTTCTTTGTCGAGTTTTTGAATAAGTATGGTGGGCAGATCATGCTGCTTTGTAACGTGTACATTGTTGTAAAGTTTGTTTTTATTATGTGTTGGATCAGTGGGTTTCTTTTCAAATGCTTGCATGACTTGACAATGTTGTAAATGTTGGCATTAAGGAATGAGATAGACAATACGTTCGACTCATGATACACTCATTGTATAAGATAAATTGGGAAAGTTTAGAAGAAACACGTGCATCTTCTTTTATGCCATTCACTTCATAACTAAATGCTAATATTTAGCTATTGTATAGAGCTAGTGTCTTAATTTCAGGTTTAGTTGTTTGATTTAAAAGTTAGCTAGACTATTTTGTTTAGTCAAATAATAACTAGAAAGGAAAATAAGTCATTTTTTTTCCTCTTATTTAATTAATAATTGTTTTTAATTGATCTAAACTTTTGATTTAAACATGTCATTTGATTTTAAAATACATGATATGGTTAGCTCATGACCAACATAACTAGCTGATGATCATAGTTATTGGACCTTAAATTAGCTTGAATATCTCATTTTTTAAGAACACAGTTAATTAGTTATAATAAATAAATAAAATAAGAAATATGTTTGGTAAATCTAATTAAAATGTTAGTTGACAATGATAAATTAACCGATGATTTTAATTTGATTTTAAGCTGATGTTAGATAGGTAATGGACGACGATCGAAAAGTGAGATAATATTGTAAAGTATATTTAATAAATTAGTTGATAAATCAGTTAAGACAAATATTTTAATGTGTGTTTTTTCTCTGTCTCGTAAGCGATGATTGGTAAGCAGTCATAATCATTCGTTATGATTTTTTTTTATTCATTTTATTTTAAAATCTGACTCAAATTTAACTCAACTTTACTATCTTCAATATTATCAATATTATTAAATAATATCAATCATCTCTCTCCTACATCACATTCACTCTTCATCCACTCACACATTTTTAGTTACCTACCACTTATAATAATCATTATCCTGTTTTTACATCACATAAACTTTAATTTATATTTTAAATATTATTAAACTACAATCTCTCTCACTCATAAAACCAACTTTATTCATAATAAGTCACTTAAACTCATAATCCAATCTAAATCGATTTTTACTCCTTATGATTACTTACCAATCACCCCTTTAATTATACAATTATTTAAATACACTCCATGGAACAAAAACTTATTTATATACCAGAATGTTACAATTTAACAACATAAACTATGATCTATTGCAGTACCTTTCATCAAACAAAACTTATTTATATAGAATATTTTTATAATTTAATTGAATAAACTATTATCTACTTTAATTGTTGTTTGTATGTAATTAACAACTTAAAATTATAGACAGCTGGGTGTGTTTAAACAGAAATAAAAAGATAATCGTATTTTATTTATGATATCACAAGAGTACAGGAAGTCGATTTTTTGTTCTTGACCGAGATCATTTCAAGTCCGTGTACAATGTGCGAAAAAAGATCGCCGTACAACTATAAATTCTGCTATTTATAGTACGGTCGTTTTTGTCTTTTTGTCCGAGGTAGATAAGATCGCATTTAATGTTGAGCAGCTTCAATAAAACGGTGTGTAGTGGAATGAGGAAACGTCAATGATTACTTTTTGTTTTGATGGTCCAATCGAATATGTACAGCACCTCTTGCTTGGAAATTCGATCTCCTCGGATGTCGGATGAACGAATAATTTTTAAAGGTCATATTCACAATGTTGGTGAAGTCGGTTGTCAGCTTCTGATAAGTTGTTGGTTCTACTTTCAGTCAATTGGAAGTCGGTAATCAACGTATTTAACTGGTACCGACTTGAGCTAAGTTCAGCTATTTCTGAGGGACTATTAATCGAACGAAGCGATTAGTCTTTGGCTCTAACCTCATGAAGCCAAGTCGGTCATCAACAATTGTGATAAGCAAAACACATTTAAAAGGTGTATTCATTTTTAAAAACTCTTTCGAACTTTAAAAATTGGAGCATATTTAAGAGTGTGTATTTGTTTGAGATTTTAAGACATTTTAAGCTATGATAGTTTATGATTTTTTAAGATTATTTAATATAACTGAAATTATTTTAGAAATCTCATCTCATGCCCGTGGGATTTGGGTAGAGATGTTAAATGGTCCTTGACCCGACGGGCCGGCCCGTTTAGCCCGAAAAAAAGAGGGTTATGTCCTTTTATTAGTAGCCCGTTTAAATCAGGACTTTTTAGATCCGGACCGTTTAGCCCGAAGCCCGCTAGGGTTAGTCCAGAACCCGCTGGGGCTGGCCCGTTTAACTAGGGTTGAGCGGTGTAAATGTTTGCATTAAGTAAGTAATATGCTCTTAAATTCCTTGTATATTACAATATTGATATTCCACTTCACATTTAAGTACGAGTTGTAATGGATTATTATGATTTTGAAATATAATTATTAACAATATTGTTATTGTACTTCATACCAAAATATTTAAGCCGATCAGAACGACTAATACGAAATACATGAAACATAGTGATAGACGGTAAATACTAAATAGCCGTTGAAAATAATTTTTAACTAACCGTTATTTTTTTTTATATTTTTACTCTTTTTATTTATTATTATTATTATTATTATCATCATCATTATAGCCTTAGCCCGCATAGCCAGTTTAGTCCGAAGCCCGCTACGGTTATGGTTAGGTCATTTTTTTGGTAGCCCGTTTAAATTCGGGTTTTTTAGACTCAGATCGTTTAACCCGAAGTCCGCTAGGACTAGCCCGTTTAACATCTCTAAATTTGGGTAAGATTTCATTTATGTAAATTTCTATTTAAAATTCTATAAAGTTTTAAAAAATCCATCAAATCCGATTGCTGCGAATTTGGAATGCATACACACGCCTTACAATATCACTCAAGATTCCAAAACAAATTTGGGAAAAAAGACAGAAAAATCCAAAGCCTGTTCGTATGATCTCGATGATATAAATGTAATTTACTTCGGTGTTAGCGTTTTTCTTCTGCTGCTCGCAAATTCTCTGTCTCCCTTCCGAACACACGCAGACAATCGATCTGAAGTGGACAGATACTCGACTTCCCCAACCCCAAGTAGAGGTAATCCCATCTTTCGTAACATTTTCACTGATTTAATTTCCATAATTTATCGGCTTGAAATTCAGTCTCTTCAGTTTGCTAATCAATCCCTTTTCTCTGTTTAACGGCCTAACACTTGAATGATATTCACACGGACACGAAATTTGATTAGGTGGTGCTGTTGAGATCCTCTAGGATCTGGCTGATCAGAGTTTGGTGAAATGAATTGGCGAAAAAAAAAAAAATGCCAGACTTATGATATGAATTCCTTTTCTTTTTCTTCGATTGTTATTGGATTATATGGTTCGTTTGGCTGGAGTTTATATAGGTTGATTGTGATGATTTGATATTTTTTGGTTGGTTTGTCTGCTTGAGAGTGTGCAGAGAAGCAATGAATCGTGCTATCGTGTTTGTGTTTGTGTTTTATAATATTTTCGTGTTATCTATTTTGGTTGATCATGAATATGATAATAAGTCCAAATTTAACTAATCTTTTTGTTTCGTGCCTTTCGTGTCATCTCATTTATCTCCGGAAATGTGTTCTTTAATTGTGACCGTTTCGTGCTAGCCATTGCCACATCTAAGTATATAGGATTTTCTTTTTTATTTTTTATTTTTTTTCTAGTGAACTCGATTTTGTTACTGAGATTTCATTAGCAAACACTAGACGATGTTCGGTTGCAAAGTGTTCTACATTCCTTATCATCATGCTATGTGATTTGTCTTATGATTTTTTAGTCTGGTTTATATCTTGTTTTTTTTGTTTTTTATATTTATTTCTACTTTCTGTCTCTATATTCTATTTTTTGCCCTTTATTTTAGTTTATTTCATATTATGTTTCCACTGTTATGTTTTTTGCTCTAATTTTATTTTGTGTTTATATTTCTATTGTTATGTTTCTTAGATATTTGAGGTTGAACATGTAATAGCTCGTTCAATATTATTGTTTTTCTACACTTTTAGTATCTTATGTTGCCAAGGTCTCACCTCGCACCTTGTGGCCATTCCATGGGCCGATCTCCTCGGATTTCAATTGTCCATATAAAACTATGATGTTAAATGTGGCTTATTCGCCAGTGAACTATTACATTGTTCATCTGCTATGTTTAATAAATAACCAGCAGATTAGGCGATGCAGTTGAAACTTAATGCACACTATTTAAAGTATAGCTTAAGGTTTCCAGTAACATTTTAGGTGCTGCATTATTAACATACAGTTCTATAAAAGATTCTTGTTTGATTATGTGCCCAACAGATTCAATTTAGATGCATATTCTTCATTGGCCTTCCTTTAACTATGATTTGGAAACTCAATCGCCTTTTTCATAACCAGTGTGTTTTCTGATTCAATTGTCCTTTATAGAGCGATTGTGGCGAAAGTATGTCTGGCTCTGAGGAGGTCAAAGAACAAGCAGAAGTTGGAATGGAGGATGTTGACAAATCTCTGCCGACAAAACAACAGGAAGTTCTGTTCTGATCAAATTCTTTTCTGTAAATTTAAATGTACATTTTAATATTAGCTTAGATTCATTATGTGTTCTTTCGCAGGAGGAAGCTGTCAGAAAGAAATATGGAGGAATATTGCCCAAGAAACCACCACTAATTTCCAAGGTATTAAAAATCTTATGGTATTACTCAAGATTTTTCCAAAATGATAACGTTTGATTACAGGATCATGAGCGTGCTTATTTCGACTCGGCTGATTGGGCTTTGGGAAAGGTACATTCTCTTTATATATCTGTTTTTGAACCATATTCAGCTTTTTTGAAAGATTCTTAAGTTGGCACTTGGCATAACCGTGGTTTATAAGATTTACTTTATTTATTTAGTCATTTATTTTGAGTCTGCAGCAAGGTGTAGAGAAGCCCAAAGGACCACTTGAGGCTCTCCGACCGAAATTACAGGTAACTGTGCTTCTTTTTGTTACTGGGTGAAGCTAATGCAGGTTTCATTCTGAATTCTAATGGATTTTTTTGAATATGTTAAGCTATTTTCTGTCCAAGTTATAGCTGGGTTCTGCTGCTATTATTTCTCGATTTTGAGACGCTATTTCTTTATTGGCGTTAGAAGAATATCATCTGATTGCGAAAAGGGAGCCCTGGATGTTTGGCTAATATCAATACCTTTCAATATACTAAATGCATTCGTAATATGATTTAGAGGATATTTGGCAGTCAATGTCCTTGTAATGAGCTCGTGTTATAGGATTACCCCAATGAGTAGACCGATTCATTCTACTTTCCAGTTTTTCTTCATGAAACAATTTTGGGATAGTTAATTATGGTCCTTCCAAGAAGATAATTATGTCTTCAGCACATTTCTTTCGAAGACTTTAGGGAATTCAAGTCCTATTTGAAGTTATTTTGAAGTTTATTGATGTTAATTTTCACATTCTAATCAGTCATGGAATAAATGATACATCGGTATCACTTTCAGTTTCATTTAACATCTATGATTCAAATGACAAATAGCGACGTGTCTAGTGTCTATGTTTTAATGTAGTCTCAACTAAGTGGTGGAAGGTAATAGCTATGTAATGAAATTATTTTATGTTATTTCATGTTTTTAAAGGAATTGCACTGGCACTCCATGCATTTCCATCTTCTCTCTCTGCTTATCAATTTTTTCATTTTCCTATTTGTTCTCTAGCCAACACATCAGCAAACACGATATCGCAAATCTCCTTATGCTCCATCTGGTGAAGGTATGCATGATTTTTATTTGTAAATATATATATATTTTCAATTCTCAATCTCTGTTTTCAAGGCAGACAATTTTTTTTTAAGAAACTCTTATATCCAATCATAACCTTAGGTTTGACTATGAAAACTACTCTTAAGAAACCCTGCTATTGTTAAAGGTTACAAATACCTTCTTAATGTTTTCTTCTATTTCTTAAATTATGCCCTCAATAAATGTTTGTTAAGAAAGTGAAAACTTGGAGGTGAGTATTCTAGTTTTGAAAATAATTGTGGTGTCTTTTTTTTTTTCATTTTCTTATTCGTCACCTTTTATCTTTTTTGCTTTCAAGGATAACTAGTGGATTAAGCCAAAACTTTTGTAGATTTGATCATAATCTTAATATTTGTGCCATAGAACTTTGATTTAGAACCCTAATTTTCCTAAAGCAGTACTTGCGAGTTGCAACATCGCTTAAATGTTTTGTCCCTCTCAGATGTGGGTAACTAATTCCTGTTAATTTCTATGCAGATGGAACTCCTGCGCCAGTCGAAGATGCTACCACAAATGAATGAGAGCCGATCAAAAGAGTATGTTTTCCATTACAAATAAAGCTTGGAAAAAAAAAAGAAAGATAAAAAAAAAAGGTAAAGTACTCTTAGCCTGCTCAAGGAAGAATGCATCTTCAATTTCCTAAGATTGAAAGGTCTTCCTGATAATTTCCTGTTGTAAACTATTCTACTGCTGCCCAGACACTAATGAAGTTCACTATTGAGATCTTAAATATACATTTTGGACTCCAATTTTAAAAGAAGTCTGATCGATGTATTTGAAAGCTTCTTTCTTGTTTCTTTTCCTTTGAGGACGATTATTCTATATTTTAAGATAATACCGAAAATCACAGAAGTTCTCATTGATCTTTAAGAAATGCAAATGCACTAAAAAAGGAGGAAATATTTCTTGGTTCAAAATCGTGTTCCAATTCAATCACATTCGTTGAATGTAATCATGTACAGTAAGGACTTAGTATGAACATGTGTTATTCACTTCTTCATCAAATGAAATAGAATATGAATTATGAACCGGAATACACTTTTATAACAAGAGATTTTATCCCCTGTAAAAGAGCTAAAGGCACCCTCTTCAAAGGTGGACAAGTTTATGAATCTGAAGGTCTTATGGTCTGCCTAATCATTAGACTGTTACATTATTTTTCACAAATACGAACACCTTTATGGTTCAAAATCGTGTTCTAATTCAATCACATCCGTTGAAGGTAATCATGTATAGTAAGGACTTATTATGAACAAGTGTTATTCATCCAATGAAATGGAATATAAATTGGTGTACAATTTTGTAACAAGAGATTTTATCCCCTCTAAAAGAGCTAAAGGCGCGCCCATTTGGATAAGTTTATGAATAGGTTCGTCTCCTATTAGGTCGACCTAATCAGTAGGCTGTTATATTCTTTTTATAGACACACTATTATTAAAAATGTCATGCTTTAACAAATAATATAGAAAATATATATATATATGTATATTTGATAGTATAAGTGTATAAGCCTTAAATTATCATTACAAATTATGAACAGTTGACCCACGTAACGGTTAGTCCGACTTTTGTTTCTCAATTGGGATCTTGTAAAATATCCTTTTAGAAGTCCTAAAATTCCAAAAGAAATAGTTATCAGAAGAAAACAAGAAGATGCAGATTCAGTTATTATATGTATTTTGCTTTTCTTGTTTCAAATTAGCAGCCTTAGGATTGAAGGTAAAGGTTTTGACTCAATTTTGTCAATGAGAGACATCTTGAGTTTAAAGCTACCAGAATCAAGTTCCTATGCTTTTTATATAATTACATGAAAAATTCACAAGAGCATCAATCATCTTTATTAAGTAGCGAAGCAATTATTCAATCTACGAAATAAGCAAAGCACAAAAGAGAATATTAA